TTTTTATTATATTGCTGCATTTGCTGCTTAAAGTGTCTTAGATTTTGTGTTACTTATTTATCTACTTTATATTTCACTTGTATTTTGTGGCATTCATGTGGACGGCAAAGTAAGAATTTCATTGTACAGGGAAACACGTTTCCTAACTGTGCATATGACAAAATAAACACTTTGAACTTAAAATGAGCTCTACCTTTAACAGCTGCAACATTAAATGTGATGTACACAGTAATTGTAATTTAATAATATGATGTACATCAGTGCAAACTGCCATTTTGCATAATGAGTATTTACTTTTGATGCTTTAAGTATATTTTATGTTAATACTTTTGTACTTTTGCTTATGTAATATTTTGAATGGACTTTTAGTTGTAACAGTATTTTTGTACTGTGGTATTGCTACTTTTGCTTAAGTAAACAAACTGAGTACCTCTTACACCTGTGCTTTCAGCCATACCTATCTTACGAGCTGTGTGTGGAGACTGCTGTCCCCCGTTCCACTAGAGGGCAGCAAACTCCAGAGCTAGCCTGTATGACAATCATCACAACATCCGCTGGTGAGTGTCTTGATGGCCATGTTGTGTTAGAAATGTCGGTTTCACGGTTACCCCCCACTGTGCTTTCTTTAAAGCAGGTAAATACAACAGTTAAAGTAGTGAGAGGTGACATTTGTGTTATGCAAGAGCTTGGCTGGCTGATGGACTGCACTAACCCTTACCGGTACTTTGCTAACGGTGTAAGATAGATTTTTGAAGGCTCGGTTTTTCAGCCTCTGGGTTGGGTTATGTAGAAAGGACCAGGTGTATCAGACTGCTTTTTGGAAGGCTAGGTGGTTGCGACTGAACGCTGTTCACCTAGGAAGTAACGGTGAATTATGGCGATAACAGCGTGGTGAGTGTTGTACCCTGGGAAACTGAGTCCAGTGTCCTACTGTTCAAATGTGGCATAAATAATTCGGGCTAACTTGTTGATAAGCCTAAAGTCACGTTTTAACATACATTTTTTTGTTTGTATTTCTGTTCAACATCTGGTTTGTTAGTTAAATGAATGAACAATTAGCATGAGGTCATAATGTTTGACTTATCAAGTTTAATATACTGTATATGGGTTTTTAAAGTCCCCTAGAACCATGAGTGGAGAGTCGGGATGTTCTAGCTCCAGGCTAGTTATCAGTTCTGACAGGAGCTGTAGTGTACTAGTGTTATATACACTTCCATTAGCATGAAACTGTTGCATTTAGGGGGAGAGTAAAAGGGTTTGCAGTTGATAACAAGAGTCTCTAGGTCTGCAGTACATGTCCTCTGTGTGTCCACTGTGACATCTGTACACCAACCTTCATTTATGTAGAACCAGATTCCACCTCATAAACATAAAGCGACACAGAGTTCAGCTCGCTGTGTGTGAGAGTCCGTGTACTGCCAAGGTTCTGTACGTCTGTAATATTCTGGTTCAGACCTTCTCAATAAACCCTGCTTTTCTAGTTCTTCAGGAGACAGGTTTTCCCGATGATGGGAGGACCTGAAAGACGACACATCCTCGATGTAACATACATGATCTTTTACTGTGTTCTCATTACTGCCGACTATTGCACATACGTTTTCATTATATACTTATATTTCTTTTCACTCGCTGTTTAAAGTGCCTTTAGACCTTGTGCTACTGTTTATCTACTTTATATTTCACTTGTGTTTGGCATTCAGGGTGGACGGCAAAGTAAGAATTTTATTGTGCAGGGAAACGCGTTTCCATACTGTGCATATGACAATAAACACTTTGAATCTTTGCTGACTATAGGATAAGGCAGCTGCAACAGTGTCAATTTTCAAGTCTTGCCACATATTCTCAATAGGATTTAGGTCTGGACTTTGACTGGGCCATTCTAACACATGAATATGCTTTGATCTAAACCATTCCATTGTAGCTCTAGCTGTATGTTTGGGGTCCTTGTCCTGCTGGAAGGTGAACCTCCGCCCCAGTCCCAAGTGTTTTGCAGCTTCTAACAGGTTTTCTTCCAGGATTGCCTTGTATTTAGCTCCATCCATCAAACTGCAAACCGGACTTCTTATTGCTTTCTTTCAACAGTGGCTTTCTTCTTGCCACTCTTCCATAAAAGCCAGATTTGTGGAGTACATGACTAATAGTTGTCCTGCGGACAGATTGGAGGAGCTGCAGAGATCCACAGCTCAGGTGGGACAGAGTTACCATGGGCCTCTTGGTTGCTTCTCTGGTTAATGCTCTCCTTGTCCGGCCCGTCAGTTTAGATGGATGGCCATATCTTGGTAGGTTTGCAGTTGTGCCATACGCTTTCCATTTTCGGATGATGGATTGAACAGTGCTCGGTGAGATGTTGAAAGCTTGGGATGTTTTTATAACCTAATCCTGCTTTAAACTTCTCCACCACTTTATCCCTGATCTGTGTGGTGTGTTCCTTAGTCTTCATGATGCTGTTTGTTCACTAATGTTCTCTACCAAACCTCTGAGGCCTTCACAGAACAGCTGTATTTATACTGAGACTGAGTTACACACAGGTGGACTCTATTTACTAATTAGGTGACTTCTGAAGGCACTTGGTTGCATTGGATTTTATTTAGGGATATGAGAGTAAAGGGGGCTGAATACATATGCACGCCACACTTTTCAGATTTTTATTTGTAAATAATCTTGAACACCACATATCATTTTCCTTCCACTTCACAATTATGTGATACTTTGCGTTGGTCTATCACAAAATCCCAATAAAATACATTTAAGTTTGTGGTTGTAATGTGACAAAATGTTGGGTATGAATACTTTTGCAAGGCACTGTACCTGTAGATGATCACCTTGGAACTTCAATATAACACCCAGCACAGACACAGTTGTTGTGCTGAATGGATACGTGTTTGTGATGAGGCTGCGTTGGAGCCATCAGTCATCATTTAAATGTTACTGTCATAAAGTAAACATAGCTGTGCTGTTGAGTCTAAACTGCTGATTCCTTCTCAGTTTTTACAGAGGCAGAAGGTTCTGGAGATTTACAGAAACATTCTTAGGACCATACGGCAGGTACCAGATGAGGCAGACAGGAAATACCTCCGAGACTGGACGAGAGATGAGTTCAAGAGGAATAAGGATGCCACAGACCAGGTAAACAAATAGTACGAGTGCAAGGAAAAGTACTGGCAAAGTGGCAGGAGTACTGTGACTTTATGTAGCATAGATTTGATTAAAATAAGCTGATGTTTCATCACCAACAGGCCCACAAGCAGAAGTACACGTCAGTCTTTGTCAAAAGGGCAGTTACAATAGAATTCAATAGTCAGTATAAATTATGTAACAGCCCAACTCATATATCCTGCAGTTCTACAGTACATAGTGGAAAATATGGTCTAGGGTGAATACCCTGCTGAAAAACAAGAAAGATAAGCATACTGAGGGGCTGATAACAATAGTACAAATCAAATCGAGCACACATAAAATTATTGATTTATACTTATAAAAACATCTTATGCATTTAAGCACACGTCCCTGCAGTCTGAGCGTGGTAGCTACAGTGTAGCCTTCCCAGTACATAGCCAGGTCACCTACTGTGGAACGGTCCTGCTACATTAAGCAGGCCATCTGAGCGCTATGTGGCCTTCATTGAGGTGAGGTAGTCCCCGGCCTTGTCATAACAACTGCAGACTAAAGTTGAATACTTGCATGTTTTGAAATTGATAAGAAAAAACAAACAAACACAGTTTTCATACCCATACAGATTTAATTTCCCTTGGCCAGCTACAACAATCACACTGTTGTGTGATTCTAACAAATCAAATCAAAAATTTGGGCATCCATTCATTATGAGGATGAATATTTGTTCCTGAGCTTGGAACTCAAAGTCTGCTCGCCAGCTTCTTCTGGAGCTTTGAGTGTTTACCAGCAGATGGTGTTGGCTCAGATCTACTCCAGACCTGGACACGTGATTGAACAGTCCAGAAAAAAGCTCTTAAAAGAACCTTGAGTTAGGAGACTATGACTTGTGAGATGGTGATTTCCCAGTATCCTCTGCTCTGCTCACTCCTCTCATTGTTCCTTCAGGATGCCATTCGTATGATGATCACACAGGCCAACAATCATCTGGTGGAGCTGCAGAAGTCTCTGGCGCTGGCCAGACCCCAGTGACTCTGAGCTGCTGTGAATCCCTGCTGTGGACTTTTCTGAACTGGTTCTCTAGGAAAACCATCGTGTGGTCTGGAGAAAACACTGAGTGCTAACATAACCATGGAGACAGGGCTACCCCTCACTGCTCTGACTCCTCTTCAGCTGCTTGTCAAGGACGGATGGACAGTTTGACCTGCAGCGTGTGCGGGTGTGTAGACTAGTGGCGAGGCTCCATCAGTTCGACACAAACCTGCCATTTGTCATGTTTATTATATGTACTGAACTAATGAAACCACAGGTGGGTTAAAAACAGTTTTTTTTATTAAAAAATATGTTTTCAGCCATCACCATACAGAGTGCATTATTCATATCCACAGTGTACTCCATGTAAAACTAACCAATACAAGTGTGCAATCACTACATCAAATATACAGCAGACAGTTAATACTGCAACACAACTTGAGCTTTGTTCATACAACATGTTCTGACTGAACTCTTCTTTAATGTCATGATTGGCAGGGAACATTCTGGGAGACCAGACTGGTCAGGATTAGAACCTGGCCTGTTGTTGAGAGATTCTTGGCTGGTTTAGTCACAAACACACAGAATGGAAACAATATTTATGTGAGAGTAGTTCATTGATCAGCATCTGCAGAGGCAATGGAATAATTACACACTACTCCAGTGCTTAATTCTAATTTCTTTTTTTTAATGACTGAAATGAAGAAAAAAACAAAAAAGGTCAGTTCAGATGACAGGCTGTTTCCACATCTTTTTAATTAAAGAGCTCATGGCATGCTTTTCGACTTATCTACAATGTTGCAACAGTGATTTATCATCTTAGACATGACCTAAAGCTCAAAAAATGAGATGTTCTAGTATTTCTATACAGAAGGAACTAGGTTTATACATGTCCCACAAACTCTCACTCCTTGAATGGCCATAATCTCCAGGCAGTTGTGCGTTCATGTGAGTTTACCTGACATCCACTGCTGCCACTGTAAAAGTGGAATTTTTCAACTGTGCCCGGTTTTGTGGATATATTTTACCTCCTGCTGCTGCACTGTGACCAGAGGATGTGGAGAAAAATACAGGGCCCCAGGGTTACTGAGATACTGTCATTGTCGAAAACATAGCTTATTTGTCAGTGTTTTTGTTTATGTGTTGTCATAGCTTCCTGAGCGGCATTAGGAATTGTGCACGTTTACGAACTATCCTCTACTTTTAGAAAGAGGCTTTCTGGTTTTTTGTTCTGAAATAATTAGACTGTTTGGAGTTACGAGGGGTGCCAAGCTAATCTAGAGATACCTAAGATTAAACATTAAATGACTGGAAATAGCAAAGCGAGCACGCCACGGGGACGTTAAAGACAGCTGTCTTTAAATTCAACTGTGTTAAAGCAGGAGACAGACGGTGAGATGGGTGAATGGGTAAATAGAAAACAAAAAATGTTTGCAATTCTATTTTAATATTTCACTTTTTCTTCATTTTTAGCCAAAAGAAAAACATAACATTTATTTTATAACTGTAAATGTAATTGTTTTACTGTTCTTTCACATTGTATCAATTTAAAAATTAGCTGTATTTAAACAATGTACCAGTCACACTCCAGCCTTCATACAAATCAAACCGTGCAGCAAAATCAAATGTTGATACCTTCACTAGGGTTTTATATACAGCGTCAGTTCAGCTACATTCTCATAAATAAGGAGTAAAGTTACAAGAGTTACTCCAGCATCCAGATAAAACAAAAAGCTTATAGTGCGCTTCCCTTCATGCATACAGCTCCCACTGTGATCCAGCCATCCACTGTGCACACATCACTCATGTGATGTGATCTTATACAAAAAAACACTGACTTTTTTGTGCTCACTAATCAGTATTTAGAGCATAGATGGACATGTGTATACGTGTGTGTGCACAGTGTTGAGGCTGTTTGATGGGATGAAGTGTATTGAACTGTTAAATATCATATTTGCTCACTCTTCTGACCATTTACAACACAGTGCCCAAGAGCTGCTGTTACTACTATAGTACTGTATGTACACATAGTCCAGTACTACTAAGAGTTTGAATGTGAAACGCTTGTAGGCTGCAGTAGAAATGGGATAGCTGATGTGATTCAGTGGATCTAGGCCCACTAGATATAATGACTTGGCTGTCCAGGAAGAGGACATTAGACAGTTGGGTGTTTGTTAGAAATCCAGGTCATGTCATGGCTATTCAAAGAAATTTTGTGGTGTTAATGCAGCCTGTGTGTCAGCAGTCATCGTCTCTGTGAGTCCTCAGCATGCGCAGCTCGTCCTCCAGGTATGCAATCCTTTCGATCAGAGCCGCTCTGTCAGCCTGGGCCCTCTGGTCAGCCTGCCAGTGAGCTTCCTGCACCTTCCTCTCGTACCAGCGCTCCATCTGCATCGACACAGCCTCAAAGAAGTACTGGGTGACCTCCAGGGCATGCATGTTGTCCCTCTCCTGGGTGAAGGTAGGCTCACTGGGAAGGTCTCCAATGACCTCTAGAGGCCTGATCCCTGTGGCCCCTCCGGACTTAGTCCTGCCCTCAGAATGCTTCTTATGGTGCTTACCTCTGTCCCTGCCTCGCTCCCTGTCCCTGAGGCCAGTGTCAGTCCTGTTGCTGCAGTGGCGCTGTGTGGATGGAGACAGGCTGCTGGCTCTGTGGCCTCTGTCCCTGCTCGCAGCGTACGCCACCGTGTTCACATCTGACAGGTCCTCGTTCTTCCTCTGGGTGTCAGCACAGAGGGCTGAACGCTCCTTCGGCCGAACCACCTGGACAGATGGCAGTGACCTCAAAGCTACTGCCTCTGCATTGTGTGCCTTCTCACCATCTGTTGCACATTCAAAAGAGATTCAGTGAGCACATCCAATTACACAGTAACCACTGAACAACATAATTCATTATTATTCAAGCCATCCTGCTAATTAGCTTGCAGGATAATGCTGAATTATGACAGATTCAGTGAAAATGTTCCTTCTTCTGGCAAATTACATCTCAGGGTACTTCTTCTTTCGGCTGCTCCTGTTAGAGGTTGCGACAGTGAGAAAAGAAGAATCATTTTCTTTTCAGGTCACTGTTGAGTGACACCAGCAAAGGCTTTGTGGATCTGCTTGTGGTCTACAAATCCACAGTACCCAGTTTCTGGGGGTGCAGCTGTGGAGTGGGGGTTCCTGTGTGGGCTGGCAGCTACAGCTGGCTTCCACTTCTGTTAGTCTACACCTTCAGCACCTCCACAGCACACATGATACATGGACTGATGACACTGCTACCTCCCCCAGTGTTTAATCAATTCCTTGTGCTTTATGTTCAGCTCTTGCCATATTGCCTGAGCCAGTCTGTGGCAGTAGTAATGTTTAACTAGGCCCCTCTTTGGTAGGTTCTGTCTGTCTATTGTGATAAGGCAGCTGTGTTGTCTGCATGTTTTATTTTAATTGCTTAATTTAAAAGTGTATACATCTATGAATATAGTAAAGCATTCTGGTTGACCATATATTTGCATTATCTTGTGTGTAAGCACGTGTATGTGCACATTTAAATGCTAGAGTGCCATTCACGTTCACTGGGCACATTGTCCTTCCAAGCTGATTATCAATTACACATGATGTTTATTGTCAAATTAAAAAATCTGATCTAATTTTAACTTTTTACTAACAGTTAGGTAAGGAATGAATAAATTCATTATTTAACTTATGGTACTGGATGAATTAACATCTGTTGTTTATGGAGGCAGTGCTATTTGGACCACAGTTGGGAAATTAAAGCTTAAGACTTGGTGTATAATGAGAATGTTGACATTCACAAGTGGGTGAGCTATTTGTTGAGGCCATACCTGGAGAGCTGTCCACATGTACCACAAAGTAGTGGTTGGCTGAGCCACCCTCTGCCAAACTGGGCTCCCCACAGCTGCAGTCTTGGACTGCAGGGCTGCTGTCCAGCTCCAGGCCCTGGGTGCCGGCCCTCTGTCCAGCAGGTAGCATGGTGGGGCCGGCTCCATCGGCTTCATTCAGGCCCTCGGCTACAGAGGAGGAACGCTGCAGCTTAGTGCTGCCGGGGTCTCCTGTGTAACGGACCTCCATGCTGTGCAGTTTGGACAGACACCAGCACTTCAGCTCACTGACCAGAGACGCCTGCTTAAAGGGCACATACAGCCACACAGAAGAGAATGTTGGTGTATGTCACATTTATTGGCAGTGATAACATTTAGTTCATGTCACATTTGTTGAACATAAAAAACTAAAGTTGCACAAATCAAATTGTTCAGCAGTTCACCACACCCTGCCTGTTTGCGTTATTTCTGAAGCCCTGTACAGTATATAGTTCCTGTTTTGTTCCCTGCCACTTTGGATTGTACTCCTTGTACTCCAAACCAAAACCATTCAAGTGGTTGTGTTCTTTGGCAATGGAACCTCCTGAATAGAAAATTCAAAGTGAAAGGAGCCACACAGAACTACCAACTTCACTCAGCTCTACAGAGCAGCGGCAGGCAGATGTTTGCAGTAAAAAAAACCCTCTACCTAGCAAGCACACTAAACACCTGAACAAAAATAGTTGCCTCTTCAGCAGCTAAACACTCCACTGCTGTATCAGAGACCACACCGGAGCTAAAAGGAGAGTGAGTATCAGATTTGGACACAAGAAGGCCTCCAAAATTCAACCGTCTGCTTACATGTTAGCTGTATGAAATGTATAAGCTGCTGTCAGATGTTGTGTTTGTTCTGTTACCCCCAGGAGGCCAAAACCTCAATAACAAAAGCTTTAAAGAGCAGCATACCACAGTATATAGCAGCTAAAATGTATTTGTTTTGACCCAACCACCGACGCACTGTCCTTGGTCTAATGAGCACATTTCAGTTGACATTGTGGCTGCAGTATGAACAGTTTCATTCAGAACAAAGAAACATGCTGATTTAGGAGTTACTTTTTCTATTTACAATAACCTGTGGCTACAACAATCTCATCCAAAGTGTGGCCATTTTGTTACTTTTTATGGATGTAGCCAGATACAGGTACATCTCAATAAGTCAGAATATTGTGGAAAACTCCATTTATTTTGGTAATTCAACTCAAATAGTGAAACTCGTGTATTATATACATTCAGTACACACAGACTGAAGTAGTTTAAGCTGTTGGGTCTTTTAATTGTGATGATTTTGGCCCACATTTAAACAAAAACCCACCAATTCACTATCTCATTAAATTAGAATACCTCATAAGACCTATAAAAAAACATTTTTAGTGAATTGCTGGCCTTCTGGAAAGTATGTTCATTTACTGTATATGTACTCAATACTTGGCAGGGGCTCCCTTTGCTTTAATTACTCCCTCAATTCGGCGTGGCATGGAGGTGATCAGTCTGTGGCACTGCTGAGGTGGTATGGAAGCCCAAGTTTCTTTGACAGTGGCCTTCAGCTCATCTGCATTCTTTGGTCTCTCATTTCTCATTTTCCTCTTGACAATACCTCATAGATTCTCTATGGAGTTCAGGTCTGGTGAGTTTGCCGGCCAGTCAAGCACACCAACACCATGGCTATTTAACCAACTTTTGGTGCTTTTGGGAGTGCAACTTGGGCTATGAGCTTCTCCACCATTCCTCCAGACTCTAGGACCTTGGTTTCCAAATGAAATACAAAACTTGCTCTCATCTGAAAAGAGGACTTTGGACCACTGGGCAACAGTCCAGTTCTTCTTCTCCTTAGTCCAGCTAAGACACCTCTGACATTGTCTGTGGTTCTGATGCTGATGGTCTTTACAGGGCCAGTTGCAACTAAATACAGCTATAAAGTAATTGAATAAAATGACTTATGCATTTATTCCAAAAATTGTACATGTTCATATCTCTATACAGTGATTTTAAGTGTTTAACAGAGGCACGATCAGTACAAACCCCGAGTCTTCAATGACTCCAGCTGTGTACACAGAGACACTAATGGCAGTGTTACCTCTCTCTTCTCTGCCTCTTGTCGCTCCTGCAGGACCCTCTGCTCAATCCTCTGCAGACACTCTGTCCTCTCTGCTGACACTCTCTCCACTGTCATCTTATCAAGAGCCCAGATCTGATGGCAAGAATATGCATCAGAGAGAACACAGGTAAATTAAGTCTTGGTTGATTTACTGTTACATATCCTCAGTATACACACTTGCACATTGTAGAACAGGTGCTCCGTTTTCTCATTCATTTACATGTAGATGCATGTATATTTCAATGTTTGTGATATCTATCCTGATGCTGCTTTTATTATTCTGGGGGATTTTAACCACTACAATCTCAGGAAAAGCCTAAACTGTATCAGTTTGTAACCTTTCCTACTAGAGGAAACAAAACACTGGACCAATGTTACAGTAACATTAGAAATGCTTTCTCGGCTGAACCTAAGCCTCATTTTGGTAGATCTGACACCTAGCAATCCGGCTCAAACCTGCTTACTTACTGCTGCAGTAAGACTGATGGCAAATACAAAAATGTGAGAATATATGTGCAACAACCCCTCACTAGACATGCACAATAATAATACAGAAATGTTCCACAAGGTATTTTTGTAAGAGCATCTCATCAACAGTGTTCTCTTGTGGAACCTGAATAATAGCAGGACATTCTCTACCAAGCAATGGAAACAAGTCTAAATATAAACTGTGTTTTAGTCTGTTATAACCCCTCACTACCTCACCAAGCGTAATGACATATCCAACTCCACCATGTGAATTACTAAGTGCAATTTTTGAAGTTTACTGGGGAAAATACTATTACCCTATTTTTGTGTATTGCTGTTTTAATGCTTTGTTGCCTTTATGTAACTTTTTTATTTTAAGACTAAATGTTCTTTCTGGCTTTTGACTCCTTACCTGACTCCAAAGGAGAGCTGCACAAGAATTCCTATATGCCTAGACTGTCTGTTTATGCATAAATGGCAAATAAAAATCTTGACTTGATCTTATAGGCATATGCGTAGTATTTATACATACAGTATACAGTACTGTATACACAGATAGGTGACAAATTAATCTTATGAGAGCCACTTGCATGATAATGCATTTTTAGGGGAGCACTAACTAGTTTGAGTAAAAAAAATGTTGTAAATAAGTAATTTCAGGGGTAGTTCTACCTTAGGGTAGTCCTGAAGGGGTACTTGCAGGTACTGCAGTTGCCAGGGGGTACAACTAAGTAACGTCACTAAAGTCAACTAAACACCAAAATTAATGATATACAGTAAATACAGGATAATAATAAGGATAATCACTTTATTTGGCCAAGTATGTTACACACACAAGGAATTTGCTTCCGGTACAGAACAGCCATCTGCGGTGCCCACCCCCAACGATGGCTCTAACTCTTAGGGGAAGCTTGGGGTTCAGTGTCTTGCCCAAGGACACTTTCACATGTGGACTGCAGGCACCGTGATTCAAACCTCCAACCCTCTGGTTGGGGGACGACCGCTCTACCCACTGTACCACAGTTGCCCCAGATACAGCTAATTACTACTCGATTTACAACAACTATGAAGCTCATCAACTTAAATAGCAGATTAACTCAGGTGTGTAACATTGACTGCATAATCAAGTCCCTCTTGTGTGTGGCTTCAACCATAGAATTTGTACACATTTTCAAGGCAGACAAATTTATACAAATAATAAAGCAAAGTGATTTCTTTGCATTTTCTCCACCCAGATGAGATGTTATGTTAAAAAGCACCACATGTCAGGAATCGGCATGTGAAGCTACCGTCAATGTCGTAGGTGAACTCGATTATAATGCCAGATGAGGTAAAACAGAAAACGATCGGAGGTGCAGGTCACAAATAACAAAACAAAATGCAGGAGTCCAGAAAACATAATCAAGTCGATTCTGGGTGACAGCTAGAAAAAAAGACAAGACAAAAAACCACTAGAAAGTCCTAAAACATGGGTTTAGCACGATCTGGCAGCTTCTCGGTGGGGGAAAGCTGCCTATAATGAGGCGAAAACAGGTGCAAACAATAACCGGTGATTAAAGTTAAAAGTCTGAAACTAAGGTGAAACTGAAACAGGAAGTAATGTCAAAATAAACACATGGGAACGGAAACCGATGGGACAGAATCATGACACCACATTTAAACATGGACTGGATAAACTGTTTCAACCGCTTTAAACCATACTTACAGATTTGTCATACCTTTATACCATCTACTAAATAGAAGGTCAATTGAAAAACACTGGTAACCTGGTGTAAAAATGTCCAGGTTTTCCATGATGCATGGAATCCCTATCAGCAGTGCACTCCGCCTGGGAGGTGTGTTCTAGGAGATAAATTTCAGCACCCTTCAGGAGGTAGGACTAAAATCAAGTACCAGGAACACGAGAGGGTGTGTGTGCGTGCGCAGAGCAGTCTCTTGTGATTGGTTAAAAGTCAGAATCTTAGCATTACAAGCACTGCAAACACACAGCTAACTGTGTTTGTGAGGAGCAGCACCTCCCTCCTCTAAATGAGACCACCAGAGAGCAAATCCAGTGGAAAAATTAAGCAAGGCAGTCCACGTCAACCTGGAGGCTTGGTGATGGTTAAGGGAAGTACGGGGTATACCGCTCATTGGGCTCTGACAGTGGGAACACAGTGATTCTCAAAGACTGGCTGGAGCGCAACACTGGTCATTGTGTGAAAAGTTGGTATGGGAAGGAATTGATGAGAGTGAGGATACAGAAGGAGGCGCTGCTCAAAGTTAGTGTTTGTGCTGCTTTCAGTCACTCCAATAGCCTACGTTGTAATGAGAAAATAGTGTCATAATTATGAAAAATATATCATGAAAGTAATAACGAGATACTGAGCAAATCTTTTTCCCATTGTGACAGCAATACTTTGACATAGGCTGTTCTTGTGTGTGTGCTATAAAATATAATCCTGCAGGTACCGCTGCCTTGTCAGAATACATGTATGAACGACTGTGTGTAATCTGAGAGAAGCTTTAATCTGAAGTGTCTACAGTACTGTTGGAGAATGTAGTATGTGTAGAGTGGCTCTGGGGGGAAAAGAAGCCAAATTATGCTAGCAAACTAGACCCCTGCAGTGTTACAGTTGTGATGTTTCTGTTTGGCAACACAGGCTCTCAAGACTTCATAGATTCCAAATGAACTCTATGAATATAAGCTCATGTTTGCAGTAAGTATGTTTCATACCAAGTCTTTTTAAAATCAATCATTTTACTAAAAATGTAGGAAAATAACTAAAGAGGTACGTCTTTAAATCGGATTCTGATAAAAGCCAAACATATTCAGTGGTACAAAACAAAGAATCAAAGTATCAAATCCTCACATTCAGGAAGCTTTTTGCTTGAAAAATTTTAAGAATAAATAAATGATTATTGATTATTTTCTATCAGCTAATCAACTAACTGATGAATAGTCTCATAGTTAGAGCTTTAGCATTAATGCTTATGAATTCAACCTTTCATTATAAAAACTGTATAATTATTTCTTTTGACAGTCTTGTTTTAATCCTAATCTTTTGTCAGAAGTGAGTGTTTAATGATGACCTCTGGAGTTCTCCTAAATATTGCCACAAATACTGTATTTGTCATTTTTAAACATATAAAACCATTTGTATCATATTTGACACGTGAGGTTTCTGAGCAAAAAAAAAAAAAAAAAAAAAATAACAAA